TTATTTAAATTATTGACTTTTTTTTATTCATTTGTAACTTGTGATATTGAGTACATTTATTTATTTAATAACATATAAAAGTTATATAAAAAATTATCCCTAAATTACTACCCATTTTTTAAATTAAACATTTAACTTTAAATAAAGAAGTGAGAATATTTCCCTCTCATTTTTTAGGCCACGTGTTAGCTTAAGTGGGCCACATAGTGGCTTTCATGGCACCACACAATTAGAAGGCAAAAGCCTACTTTTAACCCCTCACCTTATTAAATTTGAAGGTTTTAGCCCTCACCTTATATTAGGACATTTTTAACCCCTCATCTTACTATATTAATAGGTTTTAGCCAATCACCTTATACTATGACACTTTTACCCCTCACCTATTAAAATTAAAGAAAATAGCTTTCACTTTGTAACATTTTGTTGGTTCTGTTAGCTGATTGTTAACTCTGTTAGCTGATTGTTAACTCTGTTAGCTGATTGTTAACTCTATTAGCTAATTATTAGTTGACTGTTAACAAATAAAAACCTTCTTTTAGCTAACAAAATTAATAGAACTAACTTCATAATATTTTGTTAATTCTGTTAATTTACTATTAGTTGACTGTTAGTTGAGAAAAATATATTTTCAGCTAACAGAGTTAACAGTCAGTATAAAGTAAGGGTTATTTGCTTCGATTTTAATAGGTGAGGGGTTAAAACCTATAAATCTAGTAAGGTGAGGGTTAAAAGTGTCATAGTATAAGATAAGGGGTTAAAACCTTCAAACTTGATAAGGTGAGAGGCTAAAAGTAGGATTTTACCCAATTAGAATTGGGAAGTTCTGTCAATGTAGTTAACGGAGTTGCATAGGGGTAGATGAAAATGAAACAATTTTGAAAGTTAGTAGATGAGTTTGAAAGAAAACAAAGATTCTAGACTAAAATGAAAAAAGAATAATAGTTAATAGATGATTTCTTAAATTAAGCCATTTTAACGGGACAAAAGTAGTAACTTAGGATTTCAGCTTTGTCACAATTTCTAATTGAGGACTCAATCTAAATATTTTCTTAATCCAGGACTCCAATTCCTCAAATTTCCTATTTTAGGAATTATCGATTAGTAAATATATATATATTTATCTTAGTTGCATAATGAGGGACAATCATCTCCTATCTCTTATCTCACTTTACTCACATTTCATGTGACTCAAATTTAAGATTTTTTATTTATAGCGAAAAAAAATAATTTCTGAGTTATTTACGTCGTTGGCGATTAGTAAATATTTAAATGTAGGTAAAAGACAGGGTTTGTAATCCTAATTCACTACTTTCCGCCTCTAAATTTTCGTGAAAATGATACTGTACTATAATTTATTTTATAAATTTTGTGAATTTATGTCACACAAAAGTTAAGGGTATTTTTTTACCATAAATATTATATAAAAAGTGTAAAAATTGTTACTAATTTTAGTATTAATATTAAATTAATAAATTTAATTAAATAATTAATAAATTAAAA